AAAAAAAAAAAAAAAAAAAAAAAAAAAAACCTAGGAGAATATAAATTTAGACATAAATCATTCAATAGTCATAAATCACATTCAGAGAATTTCAGGTTCAGCAATTTCATTTTCAGATTTCAAAATTCAATAAAACCGAAATCAACAAATCAGTACAAATATTAAATCACACTTCATTTTGAGAATATGTATAGCCATCACTACCGGAAGAAAGCCTTGCCGACGTTTCCTGTCGTTGCTGCTTGGAGTCACTGCCGCTGGCCCGGTCGCCTCTCGTCGTTCGTCGGTCGCCGCTATCCGTCGCCGCTCCAAGGTCGCCGCCGCACACCGTTCACCGGTCGGGCCACAGAGGTCCGTAGTGTTGCCTCCTGCCGTAAAATGAGAGTTTAGGATGAGGTTAGGGTTAGCAAAGGGAAAAACGAACAAGGCCCGTCTCTGGTGACTGTGTTGTGAACTTGTGACGTAAAAAAAAAAAAAAAAAAAAAAAAAACTTAAAAAAAAGGAAAAGAAAATAATTAAAGAACAGTGCGTGAAGTACTGAAGTGTTATTTGACACTTTGCGTTATGTGTAATGACCAATGTGTAAAGTGCTACCGAGTATGGAATGAAGCAGTGTTAAAATCCTTGAGGGAGAGCTTTGTCGTTCTTGTGGTCCTACTCGACTCGATTTTGAATTAATCAGTTTCCATGTGAATCCAGAAACCGGAAGGTCCCTGTACCAAAAAAAAAGTGCTACCGAGTATTTGTGTAAAACTAGTATATTACACTTTGCGTTATGTGTAATGACCAATGTGTAAAGTGCTACCGAGTATTTGGTACGCGTGTCTCACACACTCGCTTTTTTCGGTGGAAAATGGGCGCCGATGACCGGATGTTGCGATATAGACAAATCATATATTAAAAGTTGCAATTTAATACAAAAAATTCGTTATGTTCCAAACCCAAATTCAGTACAAGTTGTAAATTATTATTTATCCTAAATTTAAGGTACATAAACGAAAAATTTCCCCTATGTAGTCCAAGAACAAAATCTCCCTATATATAATTGTCGAATGTGATGAGTTTAAGTGGTAGACTTGCACGTTTTGGTGTCATATGTGACAAATTTTTAAGCTTTCTTGTTTGACTTGGATGAATTTTAATTTATTCCAATTCAAAAGTAAATAGGCTTGGAATATCCATAAATACATTGGATATTTATGGTCTTTTTTATGTTAATTATGTTTTAATATTATCTTTTTATCGTAGACGTGGTTTATAAGGTATATTTTTTTTCCAATCTTTCTTTTTTCTTTCATATTTCTTCTAAAAATTATAACAAATTCAGGAACTTAAATTATAAGTATATTTAAAAGTTAATAATTATTTATTTATTAGCAACTTCTTATTTATAATTATCAAATTAATCATGTTTTGATGATTAATTTGACATAATAAATAATTTTATTTATCTATATAATTAGAGTTAAATTACCTATGAATATTAAATTAAAAAAATTATTTAAAATAACTTAACTACAAATAGTTTTCTGATATAAATTAAAAACGAGTAATGGTATAGGTATATAATATTGTATATAGGGGTGTACAATAACACTCATATTGAATGGGACCCACCAAAATTAAAAAATCAAGTGGGCCCCGCTCAATGTGAGCGTTATGTACATCTATATGTACATTTATTATATATTTGTAGCATTTTTTATTAAAAAAAATATATAAATATAAAATGGAAAGTCGTTTAAGTAACAATGTCATTTTAAATATAAATAATAATATATATTTTTAGAAAGTATTTAAAAACTATTTTGTTTTTATTATTTAATTTTAAATATTTTTTCTTTTTGGTACAGGGATTTTTCGGTTTTCGGTTTCACAGGGGAATCGACTAATCCGGAATCGAGCCGGATAGGACCACAAGGGCGGCAAAGCTCGTGTAGTGCATGAGCAACTGAGCATTATAAAAGTGTAATGTTTTCACATATTGGTATTGTGAGCTTTTTCACACTCCAGTTTAAACCCTACCGACTTTGGTGATCGCCCGGCAGAGATAGTCGCCAATAGCTAAGGTCAGTCTATTTATTCTTTTCAATCCATTGCCATTAACCCTGCATGTTCATTGATTTTGAATTTCAAATCTTGTCCTATGATTCGTAGTTTGGGTTTTGCCCTAATGCCGATCTCAATTTCGCCTTAAAGATGTTCGATAAAATGCGACAAAGGACCGGCCTCAGCTGAAACTTCTATTATCCGTCGGCAATGAGCTTTTAACTTTCTAACAAACCCATTTAGTAACAATTAGCATTTCATTTTATTCGTGTTGGTAGAGGGAAAAATGAAGAAAGGGATTCACCCTCAGCTTCAATGGATATCGTACGTGACCCAAAGTGGCCGTCTGATGAATGTGACGATGACCAAGATCCATCAGGTCGGCAAAGTATACCATTTCCGAGCAAAAAGGCAGATGGCCCAAAGCATTGGCCAGATTGCAAAATTTAAACGCCGTTATGGAGGTAAGGAGGAGGAACCCGAAAAGAAATGAATTCTTCTGAGTTGCCAAGTGTACGGTACACGTTTTCTGTTTTTCTGTGTTTCGAGATTCAAACGCCGTGTTTTGGTGGTTTATTTCCTCTGAATGCTCGTCATTTTAATAATGATTTACAGTCAATCAATTTTAATCTTCGGTTTTAAGCTGGGGGGAATAATTTCGAATGTATGATAATGTTCTTTATTTTTTATATTTGGTGGATGGTATTTACTTCGATTGTCCGATGCTGCATAACAAGAAAGTATCACATTACATGAAATCAATTCGTGACTATGACGATCCGATTACTGTTAGTAATCCTTATCTTCTTTGATTGTTGGCGTGATGAAAGTCTAGGAATGTGTTTCGAGAAGTAGATAAAGGGGATATAATGAGACTCGCCCCAGTTTTTGGAGCATTTTAATGAAGTGAAACTAGCTATTATCCTTCATGATTCCTTCAGTCCACTTATTTAAATGTTTATTTGAGTGTTTTGTGTCTAAAGCTTTGTAAAAGTGCACACACACACACACACACACACACACACACACACACACATATAGAGAGAGAGATAATTTCTTGAGCTGCGTGTAGGGCTTTTATCATTTATCTGTGCTGATTTGAATGTTATTTAGGTATATTATTCGGATTTATAACCATGCAACCGATGATATACATTAGAATTCTCAAGCGAGAGCAGTGTAGTCTAACCAAGACTACAGTAATTGATGGTGGCTGCCGTTTGCCAATTTTCTGGTCTAGATAGCCAATACTTAATCAACTGGCTTGGTGAACTTGGGTTTGAATGCTTAATATTGTGCAGTGGTAATGGAGATATTAGGTTAATGTATGAATTAATTTCGTTTTCAACTCAGTTAATAGAACGAGACCCTTCATATGTTCTCTTTGGAGCCATTTCCTGACAATTACATGATACCTTCTCATAGAAAAATCTCAGAATCTGCCAATGTGTGATGTTCACAGAAGAAAAGATAACATACTTGGCTGTCATTAGACAATGGTCCATAGAGGATGTACCCCTAGTTTACATGAGTCAGAATTTGTATCTGGTAGCACAGAAGACATAAACCACATAAATGATGGGGCGTATGAAGTAACAAGAAAGAAAAAAAGAATAACAAGAAAATTAAGGAAATCTGTCAAATTTTTAGGTGTTACTAGATGAAGATTGAATCACGATTACGATGGCTTGAGTATGTGCGTAGGAGAGACTTCGATGCGCTGGTGAGAAGGATAGAAACTTAAGAATTAAACGCAAATTAAAAGGAGGAATAGTAAATCTAACAAAACTTGGAAGGAAATAGTAAAAAATGATATAAATTATTTAAATTTGGATGATGTATGTGTTCTGATCGAGCACGATGGCAATATGTGATCTATATAGCCGACCCAACTTAGTGGGATCTAACGACTTCTTCTTCTTGTTGTTGTACTAGATGAAGATTCCATTTTTTATGCTAATAGGTTGAAGAACCCTGTCCACCAAATGGGTTGGAGGCCAATAAAACTATGCTTGGTAGACCTAGCTTATATGCGTTGATAGCTGATATCTTATAAGTGAATTTCGAGCTTATAGTTGATAGTTTACGACTAATGACACAAAAAACTAGTTAATATGAGGTTTGGTAAAATTAGCTTATAAGCCAAATGATTTCAACGAATGTATTTGAAAAGCTACCCAAGAAAATTTATGAGATAAGCTCGAACTTTTTAAATACATGAAGTTCCTACAATTTATTTACATACTAGAGGAAGCTTATAAGCTAGCTTATGGTGCTTACGAAATACACTTTAAGTAATGTTGTGGTTCTCCTTTACCATCAAATGGTTTGGGGACCAATGAGTAATGTTGTGGTTCTCAACTATTTAGCTCCGTGCGATGTTTTGTTGCCTTTGTGGTGTGAAAACTACCAGGCATGCCGCATTAGCTGATTTCATGAGTTACATTGCCCACACCTTCAGATAAATAAAATAAAAGAAAGAATTTATTCTAATTTGTCATTTTAGGAAGATGAATGAATCTAACATTTTTTTTTTTTACATCTTCTAAAAAATAAGTATCCGTAGAATGTATTATTTTCTAACCGGTGATGTGCCGGTTATTTAAGTGGTGCTCGCGTAACCTCATAAATTTATATCATTTTCTCCTATGTACAACCCTCAATGTGATAACGTAAGTCAAGTACAAATTACATTACATAGTTCGACTAATGCAACGTTGTTTAGGCAATAAATTTAACACACAATTCTTACATAGTTCGACTAATGCAACGTTGTTTAGGCAATCTATATCTATATCTATATATATATTAAAAGTCAACATATTTACCAAAAACAGTAGCAAGAAAAGTCAACACACATTTAATGCATATTTTATTAGAAATTTTTTATTATATGCATTAAATGCTTGCATATGTACATTTACTATCCAAATATGATCTTCAAAATTTTTTCCTTAAATAATTTATGCAATGATTTTACTGATATCCATTATAATTAATATTTGTCGAGTAATATTTTTTAACCTTTATTTAATTATATAACACTAATATTTTTGTAAAAAATTAATATTATTTATTATTTAAAAGATATTGATCACATCATTAAATGATTTATTGATGGTTAGATAATAAAATTATAGTTATTCTTTAAAATTTCGACATATTATTTATTTGTATATTATTTTCAACTATGATAGTGTTTTTATCACTTTTTTTTGTTATGTTTCAAAAATGAAGTTATTGTAAAATATTTTTCTATTGCATAGTATGTTAAATAAACTATAAATCCTTAGGATGAAAATTAGAAAAATCTCTTGATTATGTAAGGGATTTATTTTTTGGCAATTGCTAAATCATTTAAAAAAAAAAGAATTATTATGAGAAAATTGAATTCTAAAAAACATGTATGTGTATTTTATAAACATTTATACTCAAAATTATATTTTGAATTTCATTACATAAAGAAGACTACTTCTA